ACTTCGATATACCGTGATTTAACTTGGCACCGCTGAAGGGACTGCAGCACCGCCCAAATTTCGACGGAATAAAAGGATTAAAAGGCAAAAGGTGGCAGATTTTACTCCTCGAACTCCTGTAGTATTTGTCACAGAGTATGTATGTGGTCTATGGTGCTGAAGCCTTTTCGGAAACAGGCTTGTATAGGATGCTGGAAGTCGTCGAGTCGACATGCGAGACGATTTGTAATGACTTCTTAAAAACAGCATCTAGACTCGGCTCAGAAAAGAATTCGGTCCGTATTTCTTCAAGAGAGCGTTGTCGCCTTTCATGAAGGGTAAGACCATCGTATATCTGCTCTACTCCTCCGGAGTAGTGCCACCACGGAGGATGGAATTGAAGAGAAGGACTTCAAGTGCTGGTATTGCACCCGCTTTCAGCAGCTTCGTTGTTCCTAACCTGGGGACTTGCCATTTTTAAGGTGCTGGAGAGCCATTCTAATCTCGCTCAGTCTGACGTTTGGTACATCATTAGACTAGTGCCGGATAAGACTTGATCTCGGATCGTTACTCACACTTGCTTATGGCTCCAACGATGATGTTCACAGCTGCGCATAGAACCTCTTCATCTTACTCAAAATCTCCGGTGTCCTCGAAAAAATGATGCCTTATTCAGTCTTTAGCTTCGACGGTTGCCTCTTTCTGGTAAACAGATCTCTGGAAAAGACGTTGGAGCCCTAGTTTCACTCGATCGCTTCTTGAATTCGATTTGTAATGAAGTTACGTAAGTCCCGTCGCATGCATTTGGAGATCTATCTATTCAGTTCTCTGTATGCTGTCAAATTTGCTGAAAACTGCAGCTTAATTTCTCTTCTCACAGCCACGAGATAAGGAGTGATATCGGAGAGTTTTTGTGTTCTTCTTCAGTTGGTCTTGTAGAACTTAGTTCCTGCCACATGTATAGCTATCTCGTAATAACTATCCATGTGTTGCCATTTATATCATCTAGTTCATTACAGTCTACTAGGCACTGAAAACGATTTTGTTACTCTAGCTGAAAGTTATCGGAAATCTGAATCAGAGCGCGAGGGGGAAGGAGCGTTGACTTCTTTAGATAAGACCTCTGCAACATAACGTTTAGGTTCATTGTTCCTCTCACCATTCAGTGATCGCTGCCAGTTTTCACCCTTGCGATAACTGAGAAATTACGGAACAGTGGTTGTCTGGTCATCATAATGAAGTAAATTCCGTTTTTTGTCAAATTGTCGAGATCGACCAGGTCCACTTTCTGTGGGGCTGCTTTATGAAGAAAGAGTTCATCATAAAGCAGCAAAATCAAAATGAAAAAATAAATCAAAAGGCAGAACGATACAGAGGCAATATTTGTTTCCACGTGTTTTGCCTTTTGTGGCATGCGTAAAAATTGTTTCAAAAAATATGTTGAAAGCAGATGAAATTTAGTATTTTTTTTACTGCAGTGAACGTGTTAAAGACCTTAATACGATAATGCCCTCGTAAACACGTCTTAGCAAGCAATCACTACGTCTGTCTCCTTTTTTTTTAAAGAAAAAAGAATCCACCTGCTGATGCTAAGTGGCCTGTATACACTTACTCGATTAATTATCTAAGTGGTATTAGTGAGTTAATTTTAAAATTTTATTTACTTATTCTTTGTACACGTTGTTATATTTTAACAGAATGTGACTAAGTGAACAATTTTTATTTTGACGAGTAAAAATTTATAAAAAACAAAAAAGTAAAGTAACTTTTATACTAGCAGTTAATGTAATACGTTTAACTAGGCTTATTAAAGTAGTAAGAGTTTTAGCGTGATACTATAGACATACTATAAATAATTCTACAATAACACAGCAGAGATACTAAAGTATTTCCTAAAGATGGGCAAATAGTGTGCAGAAGTACAAATAGAACAATTTACAGAAGATGGGAGAATCCGATAATGATTAAGGAAATACTGGAAACATTCCTTTAAGTAAGTTGTAAATAAATTTATAAAACAATTAGCAATTAAACGTTTGTTTTATTCAGCTGGAGAGCTAAAGTATTCTTTTTGTGTATCAGTTTTTTTATTTTAATAAAAAATATGGATAAAGTTCAAATTTAAATAAGCACTCTTAACTAAAAACTGAAACGGTGTCAATACAAAATCCTTTTTTTAATAAGAGAGGGGGCAAACGAACATATGCATCACTTGACGGTAAGTGATTACCGCCGCCCATGAACAAATCACAAGGGGAATTGCTTATCCTCGCGGCAGGTGCAATTTCCTGTTAATATTCGCCCTTCCAAGAGCCGTGGTAGCTCAGATGGTTAGCGTTCGCTGTAAATTTCACAGTACGCGAGCAAACCGGGTTCGATCCCCGCCGGCACCATTGAAATTGTTAATTGCAATTTTAAGTGCTGATTTACCACTTGCTCGGCGGTGAAGGAAAACATCGTGAGGAAACCTGCACGTCTGAGAAATAAGCAAAAAAAAATATTTCGAAGACATGTGAAAGTTCGCCAACACGCATTGGGGCAGCGCGGCGGGCTATTCCTTGCCCTAAAACCCTCTCAGAAATGAGAGGAGGCCTGTGCCCAGCAGTGGGACGTATATAGGCTGTAACTTTACTTTACTTTTTACTTTTATTCGCCCTTCTCTTTATGTTACTATAGCGGTCTTATTTTCTAAAATTAAACAATTTTACTCTTTTATTTACCACTTCTTGTAATTTACGCCCTTTCTCCTTTCCATAACGCTACAATAAAAAGCTGGTCTTCTCCTTGTGTTGTTTTCTATATATCTTGCAGTATTTTCTTTCTTTTTGTTTTAATTATTGACTTAGGAAGTTAATTTTAGTTAGGGCTAAATATCTCGGTACGCCGGGATCACTCCCCGAAGTTGCTCACAACATCAAAAAACTGTTGAACTTCTTTGGGGAGATATCATGGCTCGAATGATCATAATACACTAGGCTACACGTAAAATATGTTAGCCATGGAGTTGCGAAAAAACAGCCCGTCATGAACTAAACAAAACTAACTAAACTAATTTAAGTCCGCCAATAAATAATAATACACAAGAGAAGAGAACGCTGCCTTAGATAAGTGACACAACATAGCTTACTCAGGAGGTACTGAAGCGGCAGCCACGGCTCACCATGTCTTCCGTTCCATTCCATTCTAATATGTTACAGCCTATAAAACTCCACTGCTGAACATAGGCCTTCCACATTGATTGTTTCATGAAGGAATTTTGCCATAGTTGCCACGCTTGCCAAGTGTGTTAGCAACAGATGTGCCTTCAGTACAATTTAGTCAACTGAAAAGAAGACCTCTAACAGGAACTCGAGGTAAAATTGACAATATTCAGTTGCCACTCTATTAAATTAGCAAAAATCATATTGTACATAGTATTTTACTGTTAGGTTTGTTGTTATTTTAATTCGTAAAAATCATTATCATTATCCTTTATTAACAATAATTAATTGTTAACTTTTGCGGTAAATAAGCAACAACTTGCTATATATGCTATATAAAATTCCAGGCAGATAAGAAGTTTTTTTATTACTATACTAAAAAACATTATTCTTAAAGATTTATGAAGAATTTATGAACGGAATTTACAAATTAAAATTAATAAATAAATAATAATAATTAATAAAAAACTATAATTAATAAATTACGATATTTATTAATTTACATAACTTTCCGAATCAAAGTTAAAATGACAACATTAATGTCATGGCCTTTAAAAAAATGTCAACGTCTTTATAAAGCTACAGCTACAACTACCTACTCCTCATATTTAACAGACTAAGTAACTTTCCCATGGTTTTATTTATTAAATAAAAGTTACCCCCAATAGGGTTTTCACATGTCTCGATGTGGAACACATCTACATTTAATTCTTAAACGAAGATAGATTTATGTGTCTATGGGCAACATTATTTGTTCGTTTGTCCTTATTCTATAACAAAAACCTTTTTATCGCTTTTTTCAGCCAATTTTCTCGAATTGCGAAGTTAAATGATAAAAGACAAAATACGTATTGCACAGCTTTGACAATTGTTTTCCACCATTCATTATTTCAGCACTTGCAGAACTTGTGGTGACATAAACCAACATACACAGAATGAAGCTGTCTGAAATTCGAAAAGGATATCCAACTGTACATTGTGTAGGTGCTCATTTTAAAACCGAATATTAATTATATTTAACCAATAATATTCAGGAAAACTGTCTATATGTAATGTTGTCTTTTATTATATTTTAAGCCTCGTGTTGTTTGGATTTGTTACTTTTTATATTAAAGTGAGAATTTTAATAAAAACAAATTATCTACCTAATGATAAGCGACTATTACAGCCCATGCACATGCGTAGTATTCTCCGCACCAAATTTCTGTCACGGCGTCCCGTCTTAACAGAGACTAGCCAACTGTTCAGGACATTATTATAGTGCTCCAGTGTATCCGCAAGCACAGATGGACTCTATATTTGATAACTCTATTAGCCCGGTGGGTAGGCTATCCTACACTAGAAAAAAATCAGGTGTAGGATTGACGGTTTACGGCTGTTTCTTCACAGAAAAACTCAAAAACTGATTTTTTTCCCTAACTCAGAACTCGAACACGGAACCTCATTATCGGCAGCCGGGATTGTGACCACTAGACCAACATCACAGCAATTAACATTTAATAAATTGCCATCAAAGGAAGTACAGATAAGTGGTCACCCCTGAGAACTAAGACGGAATACCCACAACATTTGTAAACTCACTTTCTGTGTTGTGTCTGCAAAACAGCAATAACTACACCATTTATTGGTATGCATACACAATTGATTACTCATAAAACACAAACTCGCATACTACCACATCATTTTTACGTGGTAGCGCCATGCTATAGCTATATTATGGTTGTAGCACGAATGGGTCGGCTCGACCGGAGTGAAACCACGTCCTCACAGAACACCGGCATTATATTGCAGCGTAATGCTGTTGTGTTTCGTATAGTGAGGTTAGAGAACCTTACCATAAGGTGGCCTTATGTACTTTTGTGACAGCCTTACTTCTATAAAAATATAAACGTCATCAGCTACACGCATTTTAATAACAACTGTTACTGGTAACCTAGATTCATAAATAGTTTACACATTTTTATTAAATTTGATTTTTAAATTGAAACGTTATGAAGCATTTCGTAGTTTGCGATATCTATAAATATCCTAATTTATGGTTTAATTAACTAGTAAAACTAAGCGGTTCTGAATGAATTGCAAATGTGCTGAATCTACTAGTGATGCGGTATATACATTGTTTTAGAATTTTCTGAAATAGAAGTTACTCGTAAATAAAGGAAATAACACGTTTAATATTTTTAGTCACACAATACATTTTAAGGGTGTATATCTGTAGTGCATTACAATTTTCGTATAGCACTTTATAAATACTCAAATAAATTTTTTATAGTATAAGAGTAACAAGCGACCACAAAGTCCACCTGATGGTAAGTGGATGCTGTGGCCTATAGACGTTGGCATCCACCTTCGATTAAGAATCAAAATTGTCACTTTGAGGACTAAGATGGAATGCTTCGTTTCCATTTAAAGGATATCCGGCACTCTACACTCACCATTGGAAACACGGTAGCGTAGAGCTGCTACTCGTATTTTTTTTTTATCAAGGCGAACCATTCGTGCATATACAATCATATACAACTATAATATAGTTGTATATGATTGTCGTCACAATAACACTTATTGTGACGAACGGGAAACTACGGAACCCTACACTGAGCGTGGCCCGAAACGCTCTTGGCCGGTTTTATTGATTCTTAATCAGGATAGATACAGATACTGGCCACAGCATCCACATACCTTCGTGTGGACCTTATATTCGATCGTTGCATATATTCTTAAAAAAATATTATTTTGATAAAAACGCTTTACTGTAACATTGTTATAGCAATATTTTTTCACTTAGATATAATTTTCTTATTTCCTCAGACCTGTCGTATTTATGTGAACGTTCCTTTGTATCACATCAGAAACGAAATGTGGCAATCTTTATGCTATTTGTTCTCACTAAATTAAATTATATTATTTTTAACCTAAAACAGGTACCATACTTGCTTGTATTATACAAAATAATAGAGGAAATTGAATTTTAAACCGCGCATATATGTTTGTGTAACAACATTTTACAAGAATTTCAATTTCCGCTACAAGAAACTCTGAGAAATCCTTTGTACATACCAACAGACAATATACACAGACATTTTCATAGTGTTATCTTGCGCTGAATTTGGTACGATAAAAAGATGATTGTCTTTGTACAAGAGTTTTAGAAACCATTAAAATGTCTGTTATTAACAACAGCAACAAAATAGTTTTAATTTTTTTTTCAATAATGCCTCTTACTGCATCTGACGTCTAGTCTTTGCTGAACAACGTCTCGGATTGGGGTCGACTAAATCTAGTCCAGTTTAATCCTCAGAAGACACAAGTTTGCGCGTTTACCGCTAAAAAGAACCCCTTTGTCGTATCTCCTCAGTTTCAAGGCACCCCCTTGCCTCAACTAGCATCGGAACCCTCGGTGTCGACATATCGAATAGTGTGCAATTTCGGGTTCACTTGTAGGGGCAGGACAAATTGACCTTTAAAAAGCTTGGCGTGCTCAGCAGAGCGAGACAGTATTTCATGCCGGCACATCGCTTGCAACTTTACAAAGCGCAAGTTCGGCCTCACATGGAATACTGTTCTCATCTCTGGGCCGGTCCACCTCAGTGCCAGCTCCTTCCACTTGACCGCATCCATCGCAGAGCGGTTCGAAATCGGGCGGAAGCTACCACGGGGAGTGCTTGAAGAATTGTTCCGGTTAATCGCAGCCGCGAAATTTCATGAAAGCACATCGCGTCAAAATTCAAGATACCATTCTCTCCATCTGGATGCTTGCCGTTTCACTACTGTGTGTTTTACTATGAATTTTCTTCCTCGTACAACTTTTCTGTGGAATTGTTTACCACCGACTATTTTTCCGGACCGATACGACTTAGTGACCTTCAAGAATAGAGCTTACCCTTTTTAAAAGGCCAATAACGTGCCTGTAATTCCCTGGTGTTAGCGTTATCCATGGGCGGCGGTAGTTATTTATCATCAGGTGAGCCGAATGTTCGTTTGCCCCCTCTTCTCTAAAATAAAATACTAAATTAAAAATTACGCAATGTTTCATGAGAGCAAAACTCGTTTCGTTAACAAATTTCTGTAATCTCAAGTTTAGCTCTTTTTAACTTGAACACTTGTACCTAACAAACGAAACAAACTTAATAAACTAACTTTCTTCGATGTAACTTTCTCTTATAATATTTGTTTTTCTTTCACTGTGCTTAAAATCTATTTATTATGTATAAAGAAAACATCTACACTTAAAATATTTGTACTTTCATTCATTTTATGCATTTAGTTATTGGATAGTTTATTAACTACATTGTGAAGGAAAACATCGTGAATAAACCTTGTCTTAGAAATAAAAATAATATTACACGTATTGTGGATGGGCGTCAGACATTTTTTTATGTAGAATAAGATTAATAAACTAGCACACAGCCCACCTGATTGTAATGCTATGCTGTGACCTTTATTATTCCTCAAGGGTGTCAATACATCTGCATTTTGACTCTCAATCAAATATGAATGTAGATTGAATAAAACTAAATTTACGGTAAAATTTAGTTTTATTCAATGTGTAGTGTTCGCGTAAATTTAAGAAATCATTATGAATGTAGATGTTTACGGGCTACTGCATCCACTTACCATCAGTTGAACTGTGTGCTCATTTGTCTAATGTAAATATCATAGTACACAAGCAACCCACGATAGAGAAAAAGATCGTGGTATTAACGTTTTTGAAAAAGAAAAAAAGAAAACTAATAACTTTTACGTGGTAGAGCCACACTTCAGTTACATTATAGTTGTAGCAAAAATGCGTCGACTCGACCGGGGAAGGACAACGCTCTCACAGAATATCAGCGTAAAATGGTAGCTTAATGCTGCTGTGTTTCGTATGGTGAGTCTAGAGAACCGGAGATCCATTTTACTATGTTATTATCATTGTTATTCAAAAAAAAATATTATTATCAATTGAAAAATCTCTATAGAAAACTATCTTGAAACGATCATAAATCAACTTTAATATTACTTAAATTTTTATTAAATATGCAATATAATATATTTAATGGTGAAGGAAAAAGTACGTATCATCACGTATAAATGCAAAACACATTCAAAATCTGACGATAAGTTTTAAATTTTAATAAATAAAAGAATGCTCAAATCAAGCTCAAGATTACTACTTTATTTTCCGTACAGTATGATGTTAAAAATTCAACTCATTACAAGCACTTTTTTAAAGCTCTAACGAAGATCTCATCAATATAAACCAAATAAAAGAGACATTTTCCCGTTCATGCGGACACAGCCACACAAATATAATAACTTTGTGAATAGTTTGACCTTATTTGAAAAAAGAGTCGACAGCTTAATTTATCAGTCCGATTTACCAGAAGAAAGCGACTTCTAGATCGATTCACTGCATTGCTGCTACAAAAATAATTGATTGAAATCTTTCGAAAGCTTTTGACTACGTGAAGCACTTACAATGTTTTACTTATTATAAGTCAGCGCTTGACTACAACCTACCTCATGGTAAGTGGTGGTGAAGTGCTAGATGGTAAGTTGCTCTGTCACAGCGCATTCTTACTTGCCTTGAAAACGCTCAGATAATAATTGTACGGAAAGGTAGACGCTGGCAGATTATTTCACTAAATTTGCAGTACGCATTACTAAAGAAAAAGTAACGTCTGCCGCCATGTTTTTCGATGGGTGAAAGGAGAGGGATGAATTTATGTATGTAATTCCTGTGCGCATTCTCCAATATGCAATCTATTGAATACCGAGAAGCTGGCTATTTACTTACACTCTCGAAAACTAATAAAAGATGGCTAGAAAACTAAGAAAACTCTTAATGCCTATGTCTTGCTCTGTGAGTAGAAAGCTTTCTTTTTGTTTTATAAAACTGAAATGATAAATTAACTTACAACCGACCTGTTCAGTGTATAATTCAGCTCATTATACATTTAAAATTAGGTACAAGTGACCATGCAGTTCATTTAAAACAAAGAAGTTTACAGATGCGCACCTCCGAGATATAAAATGGAATTCCTCACAGTCTGATGTCAGATTTACAGTCAAATGGGAGCTATGTTCAGCCGTGGGCTTTGAATGTTTGTGAGCGTCGATAAGAAAATATATTAGCACTAAATAAGAGTCTGAAATTCTCGTAAAAATAAAACAATTTTGAGAATCATACGAGGCATTCCATCGTTGAATTCAGGTTTGACACTCATCGGATACGTGTAGATGTCTACTTGCAAAATCATTTCCGCACAATAGCTTCAGATGTTAGTACTAGGACATAGTGTATTAAAGTCCCGAATTCTGACGCTATTATATCATAACTTACAATATCGTAACATATCGACAAAAAACTTGTTTGGATCATTTCATGGTTAAGTTTTATGCTAAATGTCAAACATATGTTTTTGACGAATTTACAGATCATTCTCCTATTTTTTTACATATGAATTTTACCAAAGTATGTAGAAAAACACAAATGCTTAATAAAGTAAAAGTTGATCTTGCTGGCGTACAAAAAATGATGACGGCTGAGTCTTGGGATGACTTATACTCAACTAAAGATGTAAGTCTTGCAGCACAGATTCTGACATCAAAATTAGAAAAAGCTATTAAGGACAACACAATTACTAGTAAAATATCTAAACGTAAAATACCACTCAAGCCTTGGATTACTGTGGGAATTGTTAATTCATTTCGAAAGAGAGATAAAATGCACAAAAAATTAAAAAAAGATTTAAATAATGTGCAACTGGGACACACATACCGAAACTATCGTAACACATTAAATAGTTTAATAAAACAATTAAAAATAAATTATTATAAAGTGTTATTAGAAAAAAATAAAGGAAATATGAAAGAAACTTGGAATACAATAAAGGAATTATGTAATATGGAAAAAAGGAAAGAATCTTCCTCAGATTTACTTAAAAAAGGTTTAAATACTACTCACTCTCTTGACAATGTTAACAGGTTTTTCGCAACTGTTGGTCATAGTGTTGCATCGTTACGTGGTAGAGCCATGCTGCAGTTATATTAGTAGTATAGTTGTAGCACGAATGGGTCGGCTCGACCGGGGAAGGACCACGCTCTCACAGAATACCAGCGTGAAATAGTAGCTTAATGCTGCTGTATTTCGTATGGTGAGTGTAGAGAACCGGAGACCCTTTTTACTGGAAATGAGGCATTCCGTCTCAGTCCTCACGGGTGACAACGCATCTGCATTTTGATTTGTAATGGAAGATAGATGTAGATGTCTATGGGCCGCAGCAACCACTTACCATCAGGTGGACTGTGTGCTCGTTTGTCAGCCTATTCTATAAAAAAAAATCATTTGCAATCTTATCCAAACTTAACACTAATGACAGATCTCTGTCTCTATTGGCAAAATGCAAAGATGCACCAAATGACTCAATGTCCGTCTACCTAACTGATTCAGTGGAAGTTTCAAGCGTCATCTGCAGTATTAAATCTAGTAACTCATCAGGATATGATTGTATTACGTTCAAAATTTTAAAAGACAACATAAAATATATTTCGGAACCTTTTGCATATTTAATTAATTTGACATTTGAATATGGTGTTTTCCCCAAAATCTATAAAAATGCAATTGTCTGTCCCATATATAAATCTGGGGATAAATCTTCACCGACTAACTATCGCCCAATTTCACTTTTAAGCACAATGTCCAAGGTTCTCGAAAAAATATTTAACAAGCGATTAATGAACTATTTAGAAAAGAATGAGCTTTTAGATAAAAATCAATTTGGTTTTCGTGCCAACAGGTCCACAGATGACGCTGTCCTTCAACTTACTACAAATATTACATGTTATCTTGATAAAAATGAAAAAGTGATGGGAGTATTCCTGGACCTTCAGAAAGCGTTCGATACCGTATCTGTTCCAATATTATTAACACGTTTGGAAAATATGAGAATTAGGGGAAATGCACTTATGTGGTTCTAGGACTACCTTTCGGATAGAAAGCAGCGTGTTAAAGTTAATGGCTTATTAAGTAATGAATTCAGCTCCTCTTACGGTGTGCCACAAGGCAGTACACTCGGGCCAAGTCTTTTATTTTAATTTACATAAACGATCTGTGTAAAACTAATCTCAAGGGTGCTGATATTCAAATGTTTGCCGATGATACAGTCATACTGTTTCATGGCGAGTCTTGGGAACATGTACATCGTCTTGCTGAAAACGGTCTTCGAACTATTACATCATGGTTAGAAAATAGCTTGCTAACACTGAACACAAGTAAAACAAAATATATGTGCTTCAGTAAAACTAATATTAACTCACCCAAATGTTGTAGTTTACAAATCCATTCTTACCCTTGCAATCGACAAGTCAATACCAAGAATAAATCATGTACTTGCTCATTAATTGAAAAAGTAAAAGTTATTAAATATCTAGGAATAAGTATTGATGATAAGCTCAACTGGAAACAGGACATAACATCTGTTGCTAATAGACTCAGGAAATTAGTTTATGTGTTTAGAGAATTGCGCACTGTTTCAGAACCTATACTTTTAATACAAATTGATAAAGCACTTGCGGAATGTTTAATTACATATTGTATATGTTCGTGGGGAGCAGCAGCAAAAACAAATTTAATAGAACTGGAAAGAGCATAAAGATTTCTCCTCAAAGTAATATTATACCTTCCATTTATGCATTCAACTACTGAACTATTCAAAACGGCAAACGTACTTTCTGTGCGTCAATTATATATCATTGCATTAAAAAATACCATAAACTTGAGATACCGTATCTACCCTCCACTGGAAAAAGACGAGAACGTTTCACAGTTGAGCGTGTGAGATGTAAGAATGCTCGACAGCATTATCAATTCCAGGCACCAAGACTTTACAATTACTTTAGTGTAAATAATAAAGTGAGAAACCTGTCTATATATCAACTTAAATCCAAAGTTTTATTATGGTTGCGTAAGTTGACATACAACGAGACGGAAAATCTGTTAAAAATAACTCAATAGTACGAGTCATTTCTTATCAAGTATACTAAAAACACACACACACTCACCCGGGCACACACACACACGCACACACACACGCACACGCCACACACACACACACACACACACACACACACACACACACACACACACACACACACACACACACATACACACACAGCGTGCACACACACATATACAACACACACATACACACACATACACAAACGCACAAACACATGTACACATACACACGCACAACATGTACGGATCATGGATGCAACACACATATTCATGCATATTTTTATTTTATTTTATTTATATTTTTTTCTTGGCTTTGTAAAAATTGTATTTATTTTTGTTACCTTGTTCTGAGTTGTGATAAGCTGATAAGCCATTTTGTAATTGTAATATAATGGAAATGGGAAGGAACTGATTCCCGACACACAGCTATTGCTAGTTCGGGAGTCAGGGCTTCAACTTTGTAGTGTCAATATGGTTTTATTCAATAAATAAATAAATTATTATTTAGGGGTATCTATATAGTTTTCTCATCTGGTTGGGTGCTATAAATATATAATTATAAATGAAAATGAAAAGACAAATATACATAAATATCAATAACATAAAATAAATATAAAAGTACATAAATAAATAAAAGCCCAACCAGATGGAGGCCCTCGGCAGGGGAGACCAAACGGCCGAGGGTTAGGGGGAAAGGGAAAGAAACCGGCGGACGATGCGGGCGGTATCGAGGAGCACCGCCTTCTGCATTTGAACCTGGAGCGGTCCGCCACGTAGTCCCAGCCGCCTCAGATGACCCGAGAGGCTGACTGGGATTAGCCCGTTTGCAGAGACGACTACAGGAATAATTTCGGTCGGCAGACCACCCCACATGTCGGTCACCTCGTGAGCCAGGTCCAGATATTTTGTTTGCTTGTCTGTTTCGGCTTTCACGAGGTTCTCGTCATACGGAATGGTAATGTCGACCAAAAATATCCTTGACTGTGCCCGGTCCATCAGCACAATATCAGGCTTATTCGCAAGAATAGTCCTGTCTGTGATGATGGCCCGGTCCCAATAGAGCCTGGCGCGATCATTTTCGAGCACGGCTTCCGGCAAGTACTTGTAATACGGCAATTTCCGATCCACGAGACCGTATTTCAGAGCGAGCTCCTGGTGTAGAATTCTGGCTACTAGGTTGTGCCTGTGCAAGTACTCAGAGTTAGAAAGCGCCGAACAACCGGAGATAACATGCCTAAGTGACTCACCGGGATGGCGACAAGCTCGACAGATGTCGACGGTGCCATCCTTTAGGATGTATCTCCGATAGTTGTTGGTCTTAATAACCTGATCCTGTATTGCACAGACAAAACCCTCGGTTTCCCCGAAGAGATCACCAAAGCGTAGCCAGTGGAGGGAGGCTACTGTGTCTACGAAAGGCTCATGTAGAGCCTTGTAGAACCTCCCGTGGAGCTCCTTCTCCTTCCATACGGTCTCCCGGTCGGAAATGCTCTGCACTGCCGGGTCTTGCCATTGCTCGTTGGCTAAGGATAGAGGGGTAAGTCCTTTATCACAAGAAATGACGTCCTTATAGAATGGATCATCCGATCTCGCCAGGAAGTAATCACGGAGGCTGCACACTTCGCGATTATGCATGGTGAGCGCGCTCAAGAAGCCACGACCACCATGCTTCCGCGGCAAGTACAGCCTCATTACCGACGATCTCGGATGATGCATCCTATGGGACGTCATTGCAGTGCGGACTTTTCTATCCAGGGCGTTAAGTTCAGTCTGAGTCCACCTGAGTATGCCAAAGGTATACATGAGGACAGGCATGACCCAGCCGTTATATGCGTGTGCCTTATTCACACCGGACAAAAGGCTGTTAAGCACTTTGGTCAAGCGTGCATAAAACACGTCGCAAACTGACTGTTTCATACCAGTCTCATCGATACCGATGTTTTGTGACATACCCAGGTATCGGTATGTTTCAGCCTCGGAAAGGGTCCTTAAGTTGACGGGCATAGATAAGTCTACGCCCTCAGAGTTAGCAACCCTTCCCCTTTCAACATGGAGGACCGCACACTTATCCGTCCCCAGCTCCATTCCAATGGAATTGCTAAATTCACAAGTGATGTTTAGCAATTCCATAAGATGGGAGCGACTGGAGGCGAATAACTTGAGGTCATCCATATAGAAAAGGTGGGTCACTTTTGTCCCTCCTTTCCGTAGCTGAAATCCCCTCCCGGAGCCCTCCAGTAAGGTACTGAGAGGGTTTAGAGAGAGGCAGAACCAGATTGGACTCAGACAATCGCCCTGGAAGATACCCCTTCTTATCCTTATGTGGTTCTCCGCAGCCATCATCCGCTCGCCTAGATGACAAAGGATCGTACTCCACTGCCCCATACACTGCTCGAGGAAGCCTCTAACTGTACAGTCTATCTTGTACAGCTCGAGGACTCTCTTTAGCCATGTATGGGGCACCGAGTCGAATGCCTTTCTGTAGTCTATCCAGGCGGTGGAGAAGTTCCGACGGTTGCGTTTCACCACTTTGCCAATGACCGCGTCAATGAGGAGTGGTTCCTTGGTTCCACGACCACCGCCCCGACATCCATTTTGAGCGCGCGACATCACCTGATTTGAGTCCAGGTGACAAGTGATTCTCGCGCTCAAAATGGATGTCAGTGTCTTGTATATGGTCGGTAGACACGTGATGGGGCGGTATTTGCTCGGGTCTGTGGTACCCTGGTCTTTAGGAACTAAATGAGTGATCCCAGTAGTGAAGAGGCTTGGGAGCGACTTCTGGTTGAGAGCCTCTTGAAACTGTCGGGCGAGCACAGAGTGACACACCATGAACCCCTTCAGCCAGTAGTGATGCAGCCCGTCAAGCCCCGGACTTTTCCAGTTCGGGGCCCTACGAACCGCCTCAGCTACGTCATCCGGCGTTATGATGACGGGGTCCATGGGCGTAATACCCGCACACTGACTCGCCACAACTTCCGTCCAAGGGCCCTCGCTGTGGTTTACGGGCTCTGACCACAGGCCGCGCCAGAATGCTACAGTGTCGGCCTGATTCGGTGCTGTACCCGTTCCACTTACCATTGGTCGCTCCAATGATTCATAGAGCCTCTTCTGATCACTCTGGAAGAGACGATTCTGGTTGAACCGTGTCGACCTCTCGGTATATCGCCGAATCCGCTTTCCCCAAGCAGCGATTCTCTGCTTCAGATCATCTATGCGCTCCGTCAGTTTTTGCGTTATATCCGGCTGGGACAAACTGACATTTGTCCCAGCAAACGCCATCCTGACGGTGCGCACAATTCTTGGCCTGTTGTTGCCTGATCTGAAGCATATCAGTCTGCCGATGAGAGCTCTAGCCTTTGCGATACGTTCCTCAATTCTTCTTCTCCATGCTGGGATAGCGCTACTATGGCCAGTAGCGCGTCCAGCCGTGGAAACCTTGGCGCCTATGATACGGCAGACTGCCAGCGCGGCGCCAAAAAGAATTGAGTCCGTCTCGCAAAGGTCCCGGCTGGCTTCCAAATAGGTAACCAGCATTGGGTTCAGAGCCCTCACGACAGCCCGATTCCGCTTGCTTAGGGCTATGCGGGGAAGTCGCGGTCGATTTTCGAGAGGCGTACTGCGCGTTTCCACAATCGCCTCTTCCAATATACTCCTCATATGCTCTAATTCCAGTTCCTGGGCGACTGTTCCATCATCGTTTGAATCAACCACAACTGGGGTATTCACGGCGGCATCCACGTTTGCGGGTTGCTCTACCATTTGTGGCGCCGCATCCTCAGCCGTAGCATTCTCATCCGACGAGGGAACAGCCTCACGTCGTAGCCGTTCGAGTTCGGCGACATCAAATATATTTGAGCGCAAGATATACCGAACTCGGTCTGCCAGGTTTTGCTCTGTGTCGATTAAAGATGGCTCCAGCTCAGCAAAAAAGACGATGCATCCTAGCCCGATACGCCAAACATCCAGTTTCTTCCCCTTTTGCCCTAAAGTACGCCCGCAGTGCGTTTGCATTCATTTCTTGTGACCAACGCATGCGACGTGCTCCACCAGCGGCGGGTGCCGCTTGCTGAGTCCGAGAAGACCCAGCCGACACCAAGCCTTCTGGTGGGGATGATGGATGCGGAGGGCTGGTAGATGACCGTGCAGCTCCTCGCGCTCGGCTGGCGGCCCGCATGCTGCCGCGTCCAGCGCCAGCTCCAGACGCGCCCCGGCGACCCCCAGGCAGCGGCCCTTTGCGCACTATCTTTTTATCCATCATCCATTATTTGGGCGTCCATTAACGGGAGACGCCCAGGCCTGGCACCGTTTCGTGTGTAGCCATAAGCACAAACGGGCCTCTGCACCCTAAATTCTGCCGCGGCACGGCGCTCACACCTCTCGCAAGGCGCTGACTGACTGCGTTGACGTAGCAGTTTTGTCACTTAACTGTTACGTCAGCGGGCGATGGGGATGGGGTATTATTATTATTTATTATTATGCGGATTTCTCTGATGACAAACACATTCCACCTCATGGTAAATTAATACTCTGGTTCATAGACACCTATATTTAGAATAATATGCAGATGCATGGTCCCACCTCAACTTAAGATGAAATGCCTCGTATCTGGTAAAAAAGGTAACCACTTCTCTACGCTCACCATACGGAACATAACATTAAGCTGCTATTTTATGCCGGTATTCTGTGACAGTGTGGTCCTTCCCCAATTGAGCCGACCCATTTGTACTACAACCTTAATATAGCTGCGGCTTCGCGCAACCACGTTACACGTTGATATATCGATTATCGAGTACATCGAATGTGGGTAAAATTATTAGGTACAGGAAGCCATCAATCAACGTACAAATAAACCTAAGCCCGTTTTAATGTACAGGCAGCCTTACGTCAATCAATCTAATGTGCGTATATAAGCTACTTTGATAAAGCATTATTACATATTCAACTTTCATGCCATGCCGAAGGTATGTTGTGGTTGTAGCATGTATGTTTAGGCTCAAATGGGGAAGTACAGCGCTCTCATAGAGTACCGGTGTAAAATAGCAGCTTAATGTTAAAAGAAATAAAAAAATGTGTGACACCGCAAGGAAAAAAATAACACAAGATGAAAAAATAAATCATAAGAAAATTTGAGTGAAGTCAAATTAGGGTCCTATTTCAGCTAACTGCTGCCCAATATTGACTTCACGGACGGACATACTTTGCCTAAAGCGTACATGAAAAAAATTACATTCAGGGAAGCGCGCGGGGCAGAAATCAGCATAATGAAGTACTATTTAAAAATAAGTTATAAGTATGTGCAAACATAAACAAAGACTATAATATGTTTTTGTTTAAGAGTAAACACATGAGTATTTCCTCAATTTTTTTATTTGCTGTACCCAGTTTACTGGAAACGAGATATTCTATCTTAGTTTTCAGGGTTGACAACAGACTGAATTTTCATACTTATTATTTCAAGCACACGATAGAAGAGATAAAGTATATCTTTATATATTTATTACAACCGCTGGACCAACGACTACCTCGTTGGTCTAGCGGTTGTATTAATGCGACTGCTGATCATGAGGTCCTGGGTTCAAATCCCAGGTCGGGCCAAAAATCAATTAATGAGTTTTTCTGTCAAGAAATTCTCAGTAGCTGCCCGGAGTCAGGAAGATGGCGGTGTCTCACCTCCGTGCCTCGGAAAGCACGTAAAGCCGTTGGTCCTGCGCCTGATCTCTCTCCGGTCGTGTCGGTTTACCGTCTCATTGGATTATGAGAGTGAGGGAATAGAGAGTGCATTTGTGCACGCGCATACACTTGGGCACTATAATGCTATCCTGCGCCGTCGGCTAGCCTCCGTTGAAGCAGGCCGCAGTGCCGAAATTCGGTCTGGAGAACATTGTTATAATTATTATTGTATATTTTTCACACAACAATGAACGCAGCGGATTAATTGCGCCTGTGTCCTGCAGTGGTACGCTTAAAGGTCTTTAATTTTATATACATATGCCGTGAGGTAACAAAGCTTGCCGTATGATTGAGGTGGAACAAAGTTCTTTACCGAATTTCATTCCGTGGGTAACGGTAGAAGATCCTTTTTACTAAAAACGAGGCATTCCGTCTGAGGGCTGGCATCTTACCACTGGGATGGCAACGCATCTACATTTTGAATCTTAATCGAGGATTAATAATGTAACCTACATTACTACACGATACAGGAGAAAATCCAAGTGTGGAGATGAAAACTTAAAAAAATTTATATCATCATATAACTATATATATATATATATATATATATATATATATATATATATATATATATATATATATATATATATATATTTCTCGATAGTCCAACTAATTTCAATACGTTGTTAAATGTATAATATTCATCCTTTTAAAAGTAAAACTAAAGCGACTATGTTTGTTAAACTAACGCCACCTGATTGAATGAAATGATAAAATCAAATTTTATTGTAAATAATTAGTTAAGGTACATTTTATCGATCATGTAACATGAAATAAATCCTAATATTTTGTGACCACTGCAACAAAATGTGTTAAAATTAAGTCAATCAGTTCAGTGCTACTAAGTGGTTGCTGAAATTGAAAGATACGTACAATTCTATCCTCGGTTAAGAATCAAAATCAACCGTTAGAACTATGTTGGTGGGCCTCGTCACCAGTAAGGACATATCCAGTTTCCGTCACTTACTATAGTAAATACAATAAGTATTAAGGTGCTATATTAAGGCTATTATTCTGTCCTTTAATGGTTCCCATTTTTGCTGCAACCATATGGTGTAGCCTATGTCTACTACATTCAGATGTGATTACTATCTAAATCGTTTTATACATGCCATGCATTAGAACCAAACAATTAGCTCTGTTGTTAGTCAGATGTACAGTATAGAAGTGGAAAATTTTGCTAGCATTTTTTACCCCATATCATCCCGTGGGTGTCGTAAGAGGCGACAGAAGAAAACAAATCAGGAGATGGGCAGCAGCGTGTTCCTAATAACGACTAAATATTTAAAAAAAACTGCGGTTGTCAAATCGGTTGTTTTTAAATTTGTGTAAAATATGTAGCTGCGTACGTAGTCAGTGTTTTAAATCTCGTAAAAATAAAATCCTAAATTCAATACCTTGAATCCTGAAATGAAATTAAAAAAAAACATCCTAATTTTAATAGAGAAGAAGGCTAGGTACTACTAGGTGCTTGGGATACTATAATAAATAGAAGTAAAACTAAACCCAAGATTTCAATAAACCAACATTAATAATTAAATAGCTGAAAATACTGCGGGATAACTTTGACACCGTGACACGTCCCGGTCACGTCCATAGGAAATGGCAAAGCATCCGAAACGTCGGGAACTAAAAACAAATACCATTAAACGCGATAAGGTCTGTAAAAGTAATTTTATACAATCTCGTAAAACTTCATTAGAATCTAAAAGAATTAATTAATGAATTATGATAGAGTGAATATCTGTAGTTAGTTTGTGGTTAAATTGCAACAGAAAAGACGTAGTTCTCAGTATTAACTCAGTTCACCTTGTAACTTGCAGAAAACACAATTCAAATGTTTGTGTTCACCGTGTACTGGTAAGAATTTCGTTTACTACATATCGTACCGTGGGTGTTAGGAGGCGCTTATGAAATATGGCTCAACTTAACTTAACTTAACCGAGGCGAATTTAATCGCATTTTTCCGCGACCATCGTGTATTTATCTGCAGTAAAATCCTATGCCGTATTTGTATCTGCAGATTGTTATCTAGTTATCTGCAGCTTTCACTGTATGAGCCGGTAGTACTGTCGCTTTCTTTGATATATGTCGGTGCCTAAAAATACTTCACGATAGAATATAAGTTGTGTGCGCTGTGTAGGATAGCTTGTTGAATTTAATAGATATGGAAAGATATACACTCAGATACAGATAGCTTATCGTATCTGCGTAGTGTGCGACTCGCTTAACTTTTAACAAAATGTAAAAACCGAATTCAAATTGCTAAAAAATAATTTATTTACTTGCTACCCTCAAGAGTGGAATTCTTTATCTAAAATTTTATAAGACCACCTATTTAACTATTAATACTATTTACTCGAATATTTAATAAAAAAAGAATCATCAAAATCGGTTCACAGTTTATGAAGATATCGCGTGACATACATACAAAAAACGTACACCCGAATTGAGAATCTCCTTTTGGAGTCCAGAACCATCTTTTTGAAGTCGGTTTAAAAGTGGCCAATTCTTAAAAACCAGTGAAATAAAACGAGCTGATGATTATAATGAAGTGAAGAATAAAAGGGCAAGAAGGTCAGGTAGCCGAAACCCATCATGCATGATATCGTCCGTTTTTAAAATTAATAAAGAAACTAATAGAGCGAAGTTTGCTCAGTGCATAATTTACATATGGAATGTAATATTATGTTGTTCATTACCATAGCCTTTCATTACAACTGATAAAGCTTAGTTTACAGAGGCAATTTCAAAAGCCACCGATTGCTTTGTGGCTTGTATGTTTACTGTATCATTGAAGTTCCGTTTTTAACCTAACTCCATAAAATATAATAATTAGTTGCTAAGACAGCTGCCTAATAAGACTATTTAAAGTTATAGATAAAAGTATGCGCAAACTTAAATACCGTAATTAAAATCAGTACCCGCTATTTTGTGGCTGATTTTTTTTTTCTCTTTACGTAATCATTGTATTAACCCACTTCAAAATAAAAGTTTTTTCAAGATTTTACTTGAAAAGAAGAAGGCGAGAAAAGTTCGAATAGTTACGGCCTCATTCTTCCTATTGCTGTGCACATGGTTATTCTTTAAAATCTAAAAGGTTTGTGGATACTAATTTTGTTTTATTTTTTAATATTTTTCATACAAATTCTTTCAAAAAACCTTACATTTTGTACCCTACCGCGGTCGAATCTTCATATAGGATAATATTTTACGTGACCGTTTCTTTAACCGTCCATTACTCTTAGTTAGTTACCCAAATTTAACAAAAAAGATATCTA